TCAGAGTCTTCGTCATCCACGTTAAGAACAGCTATCGTTGTACCTGGAGGAGAATCCTCAGATATCGAGTTCGAAAATGACATGAGCTGTATTGTGGGGACGTTGTCATTTTCGTCAGTTATTTGAATGATAGCTTTACATGTATCAGAATAACCTCCGTGGTCACTAGCCTGCACGTTCAGTTGATAAGTCTTAGATTTTTCAAAGTCGAGTTTACCTGCGACTTTAATCTCTCCTGTTTGAACATTTACTTCAAAAAGTTGTTTCGTTTCTTTGGCGACATGAGCTATAGAATATGTTACCTGTCCGTTTGCTCCTTTATCTGGGTCATTTGCACTGACAGTGGTTATCACGGTTCCTTCGGGAGAATTCTCTTTGATATCTGCTTTATAAACAGCCTGGCTGCATACTGGTGCGTTGTCGTTAGCATCCAGCACAGTAATATGAATATGCACTGTCCCTGATCTCCGTGGCTCTCCGCCATCTGAAGCAATCAGCACGAGACTGTGAGTCTCCTCTTTCTCTCGGTCTAACGGGTTTTGTAAAACCATTTCAACAAACCTGCCTCCATCGGGCTGGTTTTGTACTTCTAGCTTAAAATGATCAGATGGTTTAAGTGTGTATTTTTGGATGTCATTGTTGGCAACATCCGCGTCATCTGCATTCTCTAGTGAGAAGCGGGTGCCTGATGCTGCGTTTTCAGCAATTTTCAAGCTAATTTCGTCTTTTGGGAACAACGGACTGTTATCATTTATATCTGTCATCTCCACTGTCACACGATAAAGCTGGATAGGATTTTCTAAAATCACCTCGAAGCTGAAGCTACAGGGCGTCGTCTTTCCACACAGTTCCTCCCGGTCGATTCTCTCTTTAATAACAAGGATGCCTTTGTCTTTGTTTAAATCCACATACTGTCGGCCTCCTTTTGTAATAATACGAGCTTTACCTGAAATCAGCCTCGCAACATCCAAGCCTAAATCTCTCGCAATGTTTCCGACAAACGATCCTTCGGCCTGCTCCTCCGGGATGGAATACCGAGCCTGACCAGCCACTGCGCTCAGCTCGATGAGACAAAGAATCAAAACCAGCGCTTGCAGTCGGCCTCTGTGAGCCATCATCCACATGGAGGTCACCATAAATCCAACGGTGCAGACAGAGTGATTGTTTTTAACTTCAAACTGATGTTATTAATCTAAAAACTCGACACATTTATGTATTTTCCACAAGTAGACTCCAGGAGAGATTGTACACTTAAATCCGTGATGGAACAGAGCAGCGTCGATCCAAGTATTATAACACTGAGTGAATATAAAGGGGAGGACCGCTGCATCAGGGGTCTGGACACAAACTCAGTGACGTATCAACAGCGGCACTCAGAGCCCACACACGGTAATGTAATTGAAATACAGAATTATTGAAAATGCTCAGCTGTAAAAGCAGATTTATTACTAAATAAAATTAATGAACGAATATAGAGCTAAAGAAAACAGTATCATGCGCATACAATAACCAGGGCCTGTTTAACCAAGTACCTTAAGTACATCATGACAGTGATATCACGTTTTATTCAAATTCCATACAAACTTAATTTCGTTATAACCACCCTAGATACTTTATAACAAAATACTGAAGATTATCTGTACAATCAATTATAATAAAAAGAGTGCGAAGAAGAAAAAA